TTGAAGAAGAGCGAGCCAAAGCGGCGGAGATGGTTCCCAATCTGCCATCCCCTCCCCTGGAAGCCCCCACCCCTCCGACAAATCCTTCCAGCAGGAAAAAGCAAGAGCGCTCGGAGGATGCCCTCTTTGCACTGTGAAGATTGCTCTTAGCCGCCCTCCCACCCCTGTGCTCTGCAGGCGAATGTCACTGTACGGCCACTTTGTCCTCCCACAGTACTTGGCTAACAACGACCCCCCTCCCCCCGATTTCATAGATTGCTTCTCCTTCCCCCCCCTCCCCAAACAATCCACCCCCACAAGCTGACTCTTTCTGTTTAGGTCCAACACTTATTCCTGCCAGACCACGATTCTCCAGCACTCGCTTAATCCCCTCCTTCCTATCCCAGCTGCACAAAAACGGCTCTTGATGCTGAAAACCCCTTTAGAATGCATGAGTACGTCACACTGTGTTGAAACAAAAGCCCGGAGGGGAGAGAGCAGCCTTGCCCTTCAATTTGTGTAGGGATCATCTTCTTCTGTAGGCAGGTCCTGCCAAGTAGACTGCTCTGTCGATCAGCATGTAATTGACTGAGCTGGAATGTTCAGGAGGAGTGTGTCTTTATTTTTAGATAAAATGTTAATGTATTGGCTTTCGTGTCGGATTCGACAGCAAGGAACAACTGTTCCCCTTTCAACATGTGCTTCACAAGTTAAAATCCTTTACTCTCCCACTCACACATCTCCCGGTACCATATGGTGGTCGCTTTTCCCCACTTTGTGCGGCATTTCATATTCTAAATCTCACAGGGTATTTTTTTCCTTGTGTTTTATCTGGGCTTGCTCTAATTTGAAAGCAGTCTGTTGGCCGTGTCCAGTAGCTCTGGCAGTTGACAAGAATGAAAAACGCTGAGCTAAATGGATGCTGTAACGTTAGCGCATGAAGCATTTTGCTCTTTGGGAGAGCATTCTCACATGAGGATTTTTTCTAGTGTGTTTGCCTTTTAAAATAGCTAGGTTATTTTTTCCTTACCTTAGATTCCTTCTTCAGTGACTGTAGAGCTCTGCATTTGTCTCAGCTGTTGTAAATTACATCCATGCAGATGGATGGGACTTGCTCATGGACTGGGTGTGAACTGAGGTTCCTGGATTCCCTGCCGTGCCTGGTAGGATAGACATGCTGGTTCTTGGTGGTAGGTACGAGAAAAAGAGGCAAACCTCACAGAGGCTTGTACGAAAATGCTGAGGGAGATGGTTACCGTGGAGGGATTAGCCATGCCTGCCTGTGCTGGAGGTGAAACTCCTCAGTTCCTTCTAGGTTTGGGCCTGAGAAAGTGTTGGATGATTGTGGGCGTGCTATTTGTACTTTTTGGAGCGTCCTTCGATACCTCTGCCCCTTTATTAACTCCCAGCTCCTACGGGGCTGCAGTCTCCCTCCTGTCTTTGCAAACAAGCATATTCCCTTGCTTGCCAGAGGCACGGCCGAGAGTGCTGCTCTTGCTGGAGCTGCCAGAAGGAATTCCAGCATGTGTGCCTGCCTTGCTGGGCTGACAAGCAGAGCTGGAGCAGGCAACTCCAGCCATTGCTGCAACCCCCAGCATGTTCCTTGGTAGGAAGCCAGTGGCTCAAGATGGCAGGATCAAAGAGAGAGCTGAACGCTGCGTGGCAGGGAGAATCCCCTGTCCTGACAGAGGCACTTTATCAGATGAACGCCCGTGCAGGCAGCAGCGCTCCAGCCCCTTTCTCGGGGCGCTCATTCTCTTAGGCAACCAGCCACTTTGTTCTGACTTGGCATGTCTGAGCTTCCCAGGACGCTGATGTGTGTCGAGCTCTCTCAGAAGTTGTTCTAGACCAAGAAGCTGTGCTATAAACAGCCGATGTGAAAGTGATAGAAGCTTTTATCTGAGCATAGTTATTTCAGCTTGTAACATACTCTCTAGGGTATGCCATGCTTTGGTAGGTTGTGACACATAAAACCTTTTACCAAATGGCCCGATTGCAGCACTGATGGTCTTTGAGAGCGGTCACATTAATCTTCAGAGGCAAGTGTTGTTTTGTGCAGGATTTCCAGGCCGTCCCAGGTCAGATGTCACTGTGCGCTGTCCCTGCTCATCCTCTCCTCTGTCCTGCCCTGCCTGCATCCTCTGCCAGGATCCCTCCGTATGTAGCTGGGCCCAGACAAGGCTGCCCTGCCACCCCCCAGTGCTGACTTGGCACCTCGTCGCTGCTCCGTAGCTCGCTGCTCCCTGTCAGCTCTGCGCTGTGCAGAAAGTAGCATGGCTTGCAAGTGGATGAGGAAAATCGGTGTAAGGATGGAGATAGCTTGGGGATCAAGCTGCCTCTTCTCCCCACTTGCTGGCCCTTTCCCCAGTGGAAGCCCTTCCGTGTGGGTCTGCAGAGGGTTTCTCTCCATTTCATCTTCTCTGCGGCTAATGGAAATTGCCAGGACAGTCTGCCTTGGTTGCATGTATGCACTGCTGCTCTCTCCCACTGCCCTCGCTGTTTAACACGAGGGGAGCCCAATGCTCAGATACCGGCTGCCAGACACCCCGCTGCCAGCTCCTGCCAGACCCCGCCTTTCTGCAGCTCCCAGAAACCTGAGGAAACTTCTGTTGTGATGCTGATTTGATTTCAGACGGTGTCTGGTGATGGCCTGGGCGGCCTTGCCAGCACAGAATGAATTGTTGGTATTCCTGTCAATGCAAAAAGCTCCGTGGGTGTTTTAAGTGTGTATTTTCTCTTCTAAATCCTTAAAACACATTGACCCTGTAAATGGCCACATCAGGTGATTCTAAGCATGTTAATCCAGCTTTCCTGCCAAGCTGGAGGAGATAATCACATTGCTCAAGCATGGGGACATTGTCAAATGATGCAGAGTGGCAAGGATATCACCAGCGCTGTCACCGAGCCCCCCTGCAGAGTCCTGCTGCTGCGGATTTGCTGGCCCTTCTTCCCCCACCCCTTAGCAAAAAGGGGTGTGTGTGCTGTTAACGCTTCTTCTTTCTGTCATGCTAAATCTGTCCTGGGACTTCCAAGTTGTTGCTTTAGAGAGAATCTGGTCTCTTTCTGGTAGATCTTGCAGAGCTGTCAGTGACTGCTCCCTCCGACTGGGGAGGAAAAGAGATGAAACAAGAAGGCTGGGGCTGAGGGGAGATAAGGAGCATGTGTTGGCACAACTCAAGGGACTCTCTTCTGTGCTTGCAACCTCAGGCACTCTGTGGTCCCCACTGACACCCCGCGTTATCTGCTGGAAAGCGAGGGCGCTGTTTGCAGGGGGTGGCAGGTGCCGTCGGCACAAGCGGTGGCTTTGCTGGGAGCAGGGCAGCGCTCGGGAGATGCCTTCCTTGGGAGGTGTGTGCTCAGCCTGGGGCAATGGCTAAACGTCCTGTTGGTGGGACCCCTGATGGGTCTGGTAAAAGCGCAGCCCTGCCGTCAGTTAAATTTGGGGCCCGAATCCACCAGACCTGGCTCTCGCGGGCTGAGCACGAGGGGGCTGGAAGCACCGAAGGGGACAGAGCGTGCGGCAGAGCGAGTGGTTTAGCCCAAACCTTCTTTAACAAATGTAAGAGCTACGCTAAAGCTTCCCTAATGTCCTGTATCAGGATCTGTCATCTCCCCCGTCCTCTTGTGGTCTGCAGAAAACCTGAGCGGTGGAAACTGTTTGAGGGAAAGGGAAGGGGTTTTTCACTTCAGAAGACCGACCTCTCAATTTATTCTTCCTTCGCTTTCACTCTAAGTGCTTCCTCTGTGCAAGTGGGCAGAGGACTTGCGTGGCTCCGACACTTGCGAGAAGAAGGATGGAGCTGCAGCCTGATCCACTTTCCGTAAGAAGTAACATCCCAAGGCTTTCTAGGCATATTAGGAATCACAACTCGACACTCAATGACACTAAATTATTATTGGGTTCCTTTGTAAGTTCTAATCATACCCTATTCTAGGTTAAAATATTTATTTTGTCAATATGTTTTCTTTCCAGTGTGTTTTTTAACCTCTTCTGTTAACCCTTCATGTGCTGAGATGTAAGAAATGAATGGTTTCTATTTAAATATATCCTTTCGGGTTTTTTAATTGTTATGTGTAGATTTCAGCTGCATCTTTGGCAGGTGTAATAGGTAACAATGTGCTGTACAGACCTTTAGGGTGTTTAGTATGTAGGTAAGGCTCATAGGAGAATTGCTCATAAAAACGTAGCACGGTGTCTCTTAAAGGGAACAGCATAAATGCAGAGACTGGTCCTCACCGGGACCCTCGCGTAGCCTCCAACATACCTTTCCCCTTCCGATTATCACAGCCTCCGTCTCTGAAATGTGCTGATCAAATCAGCTCTGCCATTTCCAGGGCTGTTTTTACACCTCCAAGCTGAAGAAGGATTTTAGTGGGGCCTTCCGTTCGTTTGACTTCGTTTGGCCTTTTTTTATGGGATACGTTGGCTGTTTCCACTTTTAAATGGAGGACCCGGCAGAGCTGGCTGTGGTGGCGAGATGTTTCCCTCCAGTGGTGGAAGAACAGATCCAGGCGGTGGTTTCAGACCCAGGGCAGGGGTGATGGTCCCCCTCTGTAAGCTGCCGCAGGAGCTGGGCCCACGCTCCCCCGGCACCCCGGCCAACGCAGCCTGTTCCTGTTCCTCTCTATTCAATGCTCTCCTGCTTTCACCCATGAGGACAGGACACGCAGACCGGGAGAGCAAACACAGCAGCATTTTCAACAGTCTTTCTCGTCCGATGAGTGGTCGGGTCTCTTGTGGCTGCTGGGAGTCCCGTGGAGTGGGAACTGCTTGTGCTATCTCCATCCCCAGGCCAGCCTCATCCAGCTCAGTCATTGTTTACCTCCTAAATGCTAAGCGCAAGGCTTGCGGAGCCTACCCTGGAAAAAAACAGCTCAGGACAGTTATTTTTATG